TTGGGAAGTCATTATGGTTTTTCTTTATTAATTTCAGACAGAGAACCCTGCGCCTTGGGAAACTGGCGCTTCAACGGATCCAATTGAAGTTGACATGTACGTAATAGACGATGCCGCGTCACAAGGCTCCGTCAAACAAGATAAATCGTTTAATAAACGTATCATACGTTATGTACGATGGCAACGTGTACTCTATGATCCAGCACACCCAAATTTTGGCATTATTGAAGCGAAAGTGGAAGCCTGGGAGAAAATAGCAAAACAAATGAGATGTGATGGTATGTATTTCGTTGTGTGGGACAGTTGTTCTCAGTGTAGACTAATTTGTACACACATTTTTCCATACTTTTTGTCCAGTGGATATATGCAAAAATGCTTGGGTAAACTTACGTTTTTGCTATCAAAAATATGTGCGTCGATTGCGTAAATTTCTTGCCAATAAGGGTGGCAAAAAGCGCAAGCGCAGGCCAGTTATGGCATTTGAGACTGAGATGGTGTTCCTCTGGCGCTTCATTGCAGACAAGTAAGTGACTTCGGAGAGTTTTATCAGCGATTTTCTTATGATTTGTACCCTTTTGTAAAAAAAATTAAAATTCTATTATTTTATGTACATTATGTAGAACACGTTGCCGACTGCCCTATGATGATGCTAATCCAGCAGAAAAGGAAATGCCGCCTGTACAAAAAGCTACAGAGGATGATGATATCGTTTTGCTAGAGGACGATGTGGAGGTGATTGATTTAGATGACGATGCGGCTAATTCAACAAAGCTGTTGACGCGGCAAATTAAATGTCAATTCCAAATAACTCCAGAAGTACGTAGACTGGTGACTAACATTGAGCCATATGACGAGTTATACGATAGCGATCATAGGTATTATGACGATTATCGGCGCAAAGGTATCATTTGGAATGCGATCGCGAATGAAGTGGGCGATAAAGGTGAGTGCTGTACTTGATAGCGAAGTTGAGCGTTGTTTAATTTAGTGTGTTATACGCT